ATAAGTGGCTAATGAATTTAACATCATGATCGGATGTTAAACTCCGGGGCAACCCATGTAGCCTGACGATTTCGGCGAAGAAAATACGGGCCACATTCAAAGCGTCGAACGTCTTTTTGCACAACACAAAATGAGCCATCTTTGAAAATCGATCCACCACCACCATAATTGAATCATGACCATGCCTAGTACGGGGTAATCCCATCATGAAATCGAGGCTTAAATCTTCCCAAATGGTCTACGGTGTTGGCAATGACAAATATATTCCATTGAGTTGTCCACCTATTTTATAACTTTGACAAATTTTGCATCTTTCTACAAATCTCATAACATCCCGGTGCAAATGTGGCTAGAAGAACCTGGACTGAAGTTGCAAGTACGTGTTCGTTCTTCCCACATGTGCCGCAAGCCCTCCGCAGTGGACTTCCTTAATGAGCTGTGGTCTCCATGACGAGCCGGAGATACAGAGCTGGTTCCGTTTAAATAGAAAAACATGTCGAATCAAGAATTCCACATTAGAATTATCATTTTGCATTCTTCCCAGATTTTTGCAAACTCAGGATCTGCTGCATACAGCTCCTTCAAGCACTCTAGTCTCGTGATTTCTGTCTACAGCTGGGTGAGGAGAATGCTGCGATGGCTGAGAGCATCAGCCACAATATTATGCTTTCTAGACTTGTGCTTAAAAACAAAAGAGAACCGTTGCAAGAATAAGACCCATCTAGCATGCATTCGATTAATGTGCTTCTGTTCGTTGATGAATTGAAGTGCTCGATGGTCACTGCACAGGACAAACACTTGGTGAAGTAGATATGGTTCCCATTGCTTGAGTGCTTGCACCACTGCATAAAGTTCTTGCTCGTATACACTCCATTTTTGACTAGAAGGGCACAACTTCTCACTAAAGAACTCCACGGGACGATTCTCCTGACTTAGGACAACCCCAATGCCGATGCTGGAAGCGTCGGTGTCGAAGTGAAATGGCTTTTCAAAGTTGGGTAGTGCAAGCACGGGAGCGGTTGACAAGGCCTTTTTAATTTCTTCAAAGATGTTCGCCTGGTCGTCACCCCACTGGAATTGCTTCAGCTTCAGACAATTAGTGATAGGTGCCATGATAGAGCTAAAGTCTTTGATGAAACGGCGATAAAAGTTGGAAAGACCATGAAAACTGCATACATCTGTGAATGACTTGGGGGTCGGCCAGTTTGCAAAAGCATCCACCTTCCACCTGTCTACTTGTACACCTGCGGCCGAGACAACAAAGCCAAGGAAATATACAGCGGAAGCAGCAAATTCACACTTACTTGGGTTTAAGTATAGTTGATTTTGCCGTAGGACAGTGAGAATATCTGTCAGATGCGCCAAGTGGTCAGTCAGTGATGCGCTAAAGATGAGAATGTCGTCAAAGTATGCTACGCAACTGATGTTGAGGAACGACTTGAGCACATTGATCATCAACCACATAAAAGTGGAGGGGGCGTTGCACAACCCGAACGTCATGACTTTTCACTCGTATAGCCCATGGCAAGTCTTGAATGCCATCTTCCACTCGTCGCTAGGTCGGATCCGAATCTGGTGATAACCGCTTCGGAGATCAATTTTTGAAAATATGGTGGCTCCGGACAGCCTTTCCAAAAGCTCCTCCACCCGTGGAACTAGAAATCAGAATTTAACGGTAATCTTGTTGATGGAGTGGCTGTCCATACACATTCGCCAACTGCCATCTTTCTTTGGAACCAAGAGCGCCAGAACAGCACAAGGGCTAAGGCTTGGCTGAATTAAATTGTTCTTCAATAAGTCGTCCACTAACTGCTGTAGTACCTGATGCTCCTTCGGGCTCAGTGGTGATGGGGTAAGTTTGGAAGTGTTGAACCCGGCACAAGGTCTATCTGATGCTGCAACGATCTTAAAGGAGGCAAGGAAGTTATGACACCCGTTAAAACATCTTGAAATTGTTCTAACAGATGCTTGATTGGCGCCCGATCTCCAGATTTGCTACTTGACACTGCCTCCCTGATGACCAAGGCAAATAATAGCGCATTCTCCTTCCACGATGCTAATAAACCATTTCCAGTAACCAAATGCAGAGCAGGTCGCACCGTCTCTGCTTTGTCTCCCACTCCGATGGAGTGCGGTAGTAAACGAAGCCGTTTGCTTTTCCACTCCAACGTATAGGTATTGGCTCTCCCATCATAAATGGCACCTACGTCGTATTACTAGGGGCGGCAGAGGATCAGATGGCATACAACCATTTCGACGACGTCACACAACACCTCGCACGTATAGTGCTTCCTAATTGAGAACTGAACTCGGCACGTTTCTGTCACCGCAATCTCCATTCCTTTTTTAACCCAACTAATTTTATAGGGCTAAGGGTGTTTCATGGTCTTAATCTGCAATGCTTGCACCACGGCACACGACACCACATTTTCAGTACATCAGTTATCGATGAGGAGATCACATACCTTGCCAGCTATGGTACATTTGGTCTTGAATATAGAATGCCGCTGTGAGTGCACTTGTTTCCTCGGAGCTAGCAACAGTCTTTCGAGAACACATACTAGCGGCTCTCCTTCATCACCTATTACATCTTCCACCTCAATATTGAGCTCTTCTTCGGGCTGTTCAGTATCATCCTCTGCTTCACCATTTAGTAGTTGTAACTGTTGCCGATTAGGACATTCATTTGACTTGAGTCCCGGCTGAAAACACCAGAAACACTTGAGACCTTGAGGCCGCGAGTATGGATTTTCCCTAAAAGGGAATTTGGGCATCACAGGTGCTTTGGGGTCGGAGCTCAGTTTGACCTGATTTGAAGGACCACTGCTATCAGGAAATAGAGGCATCTTACGCATGGCTGTTCCTGGTTTCTTAGAGACGTCTGTCCCATCCTCCACAGACTGTCTTATGTGAGAATTACTTCGCAAGTGCCGCCCCAGTTGAATTTTGGCTTTGAGCGTGAAATTCACCACCTGTGATAACGACCACACCGAGATCAACTCTAGCTTGTCTTGAATGCTGTCTTTCAACCCACCTATATATCGCGCTACCAACTGGTTGGTCGTCTCATTTAAATCGTTCATTGTGGACAAGCGATAAAACTCTTCTGTATAATCGCTAACGGAACGATTACCTTCTGCACAATGTTGGTACTTAAGGTACAACATCTGTTTTTAATCAGTGGGAAGAAAATGTCCCCATAATAACTGTTTCATTCACAGCCAACTGTGCACAGGTCCACGTCCCTCCCTTCGCCGAGACTATAGCAATTGTGACCAGCAGGTGCTAGCTCATCCTTTGAGCCTGCAGACAACATACTTGACCTGTTTTTCTGCCTCAATCTCCATGTAATCGAAGAAGTTCTCCACGGACCGTTCCCAATCTAGATAGTCCTCAATGTGCAGTCTTCCGTCAAAGAAGGTATAGTCAGCTTCACTCGGAACTCACCTTGGTGTCGATCTAGCCCAACGTGACGACGAGGACGACGTTCTTCCAGTTCCACCTCAGTGTCGGAAAATCCATCGGGGTTAAAACTTCCATGGTCATCCTCTGAGTTGGATAGTTCCGGGAACAATGTCGGTCGTCTACGTCCTCGATTCAGATATCCCCTGATTCCTTCAGTCGACGTGACAACTGGTGGCGCTGGTCTTCCGGCCCGGAGCGGAATTTCTCCTGTTCTAGTGAAAGGTGGTTCTCGGTGTAAGATAGCAGTGAGACGATCCACAGCAGCTTCCATCTCGTCCAGCCGCTTCTCCACTCCAACGTGTGCATCCCAAAGTGCCTCCAGACTTCGGTTCTCCTCGCTCGTCGCACACTTGCTGGACTCTGCCATCTTTCTGAGCCTCTGGCTCTGATACCAAGTTGATGTGGTATGCAATGGAAGAAGCAGGTTCACAAGATAGAACAACGAAGGCAGTAGAACTATCAAGACTAAAGCTTGAGAATGTATTTCATCCACTACTTTCCTCATCTTCTCCGGGAGAAGAAATACAGTAAACCCAGTTGCTAAAATCAGCTACTGACAAAAAGCAATGCTTGTACTAGTAACTAAATAAGGCAAACTAAGAAAGTGGAGCAGACACTAGTGCTAACGAAAAGTATAAAAACTAAATAAAGCATATAAAAGCTAAAAGGATAAATAGATAATAGGCTACATCATCCAACGGACAGGATGCTCTGCATCACAATTGGCTATTTGATTTGCAATATTTTGAGAGAAAGAAATAGGAGGAGATTTGGGTGATCGTTAACTGACCATAATTCCTTAGACTTCAAAATAAGGAAAGCTCTATTATAAAAAATTCAGATGTGGAGAAGATTTGTTGAGATTTTGTCTCTAATCTCTTAATGTTGATTTGCCTTGCCATATGGGATACTTTTAGCTGGGGTTCCTGTTATTCGTCCTTATTTGTTTGTATGCTGGTTGTTTTCAACTGTCTTTTGATTGGACGATGATTATTAGATTTTCATCCTTATTGCTAATTTATTTTTTCTTGGATGATCTCTGCAGCAACTAGGGAAATCATCTTCAAGTTGGAGCTTTCTAAACTCAGGATTTTTTTTTTTTTTGGCCCACTCCAAGGCCAAATTTCTTTTGTGCTTTGCAAGTTTTTCTATTTTATTTTTTCTTTTGAGATTTTGTTCAATTTTGCAGCAACTTAATATGCATATATCCTTTCTCTCTAAGTTGTATTTGACTTCTATTTAATTATTTTATTAAAGAAAAGGGGCTAATGCTTCAAATTTTTTTTTAACACCTAACTTGGGAGCTCTGTCCCACCTTTGATGACATCTATTGACTAGGTTATGTAAATAATAAAAATTTGATAAGAATTTTAAACAAAATTTTAAGTGCCTGTACATGAGCCTCTGTCTCAAATAAAACAATCTTTTCTTTAAAATAAAAAATAAATAAAAAAACAAAAAAATAAGCATAATACGTGGCGGTTTATTATTTGTTGCTCTTATAATAATCCAACTAGAATTCTTCCCAGCGCTTTAGGAAAAAAAAAAATCTCCATTTTTTCTCATCCTAGGCGTTTCTTGTTCCTGATAAAACCTGTTCCCATCCTTCTTCCCCTTTTCTTCTCGCTCTGGAAATCTTCACCGTGTAATAATATCTCTAGGAAAAAAAAAAAATCTACCGGGGTTTGTTAATTCCTCAGTTGTCGGGCGTGATGGCGTGAGATTTCGATCATAGGAAATCTCCATTCGCCGATCTGACGAATTTTTTGACGAATGGCGAGTGATCTAAGGATGAACGCTGAAATGGAGGAGACAGACGGTGAGATCCAGGATATCCTTCGTGCCCTCGCGTAAGATCCTATTCGACTTTCGGAATTCCATTTGAACTGGCTTGAAATATTTTATTGTTAGTGTTTGTGTGAGTTGAGTTCAATTTCTTGACTGGTGAGGACAGATCTAATGGTAAAAAGGGCATGAAAAGTGCTCACCCTGTTGGGTGCTCACTGGAACTGAAAATGTATGAGAAATCACCTGATCATAGAAGATATATGTGGTTTACTTTGTTTGGAGATCAATTCTGCTGCATCCATGGTCACACGAATTTTTTCAAATTGATGAGGTTAAAATTACATGAGATGCGGCCCTTCAAGTTCGATAATTTTTAGGATCAAAATTATCTATAGGATTTAAGTTTGGATCTATGGCTCTGAACTGGAAACCTTATGCAGGGAAGGCATTGCCTCTTCCCGGCCTACACCAACTCAATGTAAAATTAAATACGCATGGAGCAAATCTTAAATGAGTTTCTGTAGCGCTTAGACTCTTTAAACCTTAATAATGTTTCTCCTTGGCTGTTTCATCTAAGTTGTTTGAACATGAAAACTGAACATCATAGTCATTGGTCTTTGTTGATGAGTTCTTGTAATGATAACAGGGAACTATTGAGTTTAGCCTAGAAATAGTGCTCATAACTTTCAAAATAGAAAGTTGAGGTTCAATTATTGCAAAAAGGAGGAGGAGAAGAAGAAGAACAAGAAGAAGAAACAGATGATGATAATAACTGGAAAAATTGGGTGAGAGAGAAGATAGTATAAAACAAGCAGATTAAATCTTGGATTTTGAATATAGATTTAGTTACAATGCTGAAATTTGTGGGTCAATTGGAGTCAACTCTAGTCTAACCGTGCTACCTATCTCTTCTTAATTAATATAAGCCTTTTCCTGATGTTCAACTTTTTAGTTTATACTTAGAAGAAACCAATATTGATTAGTTGTCTAACTCAAATTGCCTCTAATTATTCCTCATTTACCATCATCTAGTTAGTTTGTCAAATTTAATTCCTTCATTAAAATTTGCTCAAGAAAAGAAAAATATGATGAACAATCAAGATGTCAAGTGCAACAAGTATAAGAGGAGCTTAGTTAGAGATAGTTGATTTGATGGGTGGCAAAAAAACCCATGAACCATATCATTTGCTAGAGAGAAGATTAGGATTGAAGATCACCATTGACTCAAGAATTTACAAAATAAATTAAAGAAAGGATCGCCACCACTCTTTGAAAGATGTTTGGTTAGCAATGAAGCAAATAGTTGAGTTTTTTATGTACATTCTAGAGATTCATCATCTTGATTATTATTAGGGATGCTTTAATCCCACTAATTACATGGAAGAATTTGTGGTGATAATAACACTATACTCGTTGCCAAACACTACCTATGTTAATTATGTCTCACCACACTTTAAGTGCACTTAAGGTGACTTTTAGGGAACATCACTACATTCCAAGTGGTAACACCAATTGCTAGTACAATTTGGCAGCTTTATGAAGATTTTAAATAATCTAACCAAACCTAAAGCAAAAGGAACCCAAAACTCAGCACATCACTTCATTATCATGTTCAAAAGAGTTGTGTTTGAGTTATATGACATGGAGCCCTCCATAGTGTAGGTATCATTAATGATAAATTTTTCTTTTATTTTCAAAGAATCATCACAATATGATGTTTGAATTGTTGGAAAGACATTAAGGATGAGGAGTTTCAAAGGGACTTGAGCCTATTTACAAACATCCACACCTAAAATCGACGATTAGCTATCTTGCTCACAGATGTATGAACAATATGGTTTTCAAAAACAGCCCTGAAAAAGAGGATAATAAATAGCATTAATTACAATCAAAATTCTTAATGTGGTCTGAAAAGCAAGGCATCAAGTTTTAGTCACAACAGATTTCAATATTATCACTATCATGGCCATGATTTTTTGTATAGACAATTGAAGATTCATTGAGATCCTGATGAATATTAGTTATTGAAGGAGTTTGTGGTTTTTTCTTTTTTTTGAAAGAGTTTGTGGTTGAAAAGCTAAATGAGGCTAAGAAAAGGCGCAAGGTTGAGACACTGTCACCGGCACCCATTTGTGTAGGTATTGCATCAATAATAATTAGTAGTGATGGAAAATAAATTTCATGGATGGCTAATCTTTATAGGCTAAAAGATCAATTATTTCAAGATATTTATCAATATTTTCACGTGATCATATTTTAAATTAAAAAATTTATCATCAGATGAAAACCTATATACTCATAAGATAATTTTCACAACAATAATATGAGTTACAAAATTGTTATATTTCTATTTGTTATTTGGAGCTTGTTGATCTTTCCTTCAAGCATGCTAAGACTAAAATGAGCATAAATCCAAAGCTGTTCAAACATCGCAAATGATTTTTAATTGAACTTTTGCATGAAATAGAAAGTTTGAAGGGATCATCTTCCTTGCATTATACTGAGGAGATGCAAAGAAAAATTAAAAATCAATCATTGTCTTTATAACGTTTTGATTTCAATCATTGTATAACACCAACTCCAGTTAACCCTTAGTTCTGATTTCTTATTTCTGGCCTTTTCATATCATTGGGTAGCAAAGTTTTCTGCTTTGATTAAGATAGCAATTACCGAGGGAAATCCTTTACAATTGCATAAGTGCTATATGAATGCCATCACAACCTCAGATTGAAAAGCTTATTAGCTTATTCTGTTGTATTTAAGTTGCTCTGAAGAAAGAAAAAAACATCGTCTCTTAAGAGGTAATATTCTTATGTGGGGGAAAAAAGCGTATTTGATTTTTGATGTAGAAAATAGTTTCTTAATCATTCAGACAATAAAATTTTAATGAAAATTAGACCAAAATTAAATAAGATGTAATATTCTTATTGCCAAGATTTGTAGTGCTAAACCAATGAAAATTACACCAAAATTAAATAAGAACAACCAAAACCACCACTGAGGTCTTGATTTAAACTAGATGTGAAATCTTATAGTAAGTGAAAATATGAGGGAAGATGAGAAAACTAATGAAATGAACGGAAGTTTTTTTGTTGGCATGAGAAAATATTTAAGTTAGACAAGTACAATTTTCAATTGACCAATGGAAGGTGATGCTTTATCAAAAACAGGTTATATCAGAGAGTACAAAATGTTGAAATAATTTTTTTGAACTTGATAAGCATATGATCTAAGTAGTGCAGGTTATTGTATAACAGATGGTAGATCTTAAAGTTGATAGGGAAATTAACACAAAGCCAGTTGATCTTCAATTTGTAACATCAATAACTAACTACAGTATTGTTTTTATAGTTTGGACAAACTTTCACGGGACGAGATAGAGGAGCAGGCTAAATGAGAGTAGCTAAAGAGAAAGGTAAGACAACATGTACTATATTCTTGCAAATTTAAGTGAAGATAAATGATATCATGGCAAAGAGATCATCCTAGATGCTTAAGGATTGAGCTATAAAAATTAACATATTCTCGGCATATCCTTAATATAATAAAAAATATCATATGATAGCATTCAAACAAATTATCTATTGAAACAAGTAATTTTTCTTATATAATAAAACCATATTTATAAAAGTGGCACGATAATGATACAATAAATATAATAATCCTTTGTTGATCAGTTCCTTCCTCTGGTCTCATGTATTTAACTCTACCTAGTTCTCAACCCAATTTTAAATCACACTGGATAAAACTTGAGGAGGAAACAACAACAGTGATCTTAATTATAAACTCTAAGAAGTAATATCCAACTAGATTTAAGAAGTTTTCTTCTAACAAAAAGGTAAAAAAATTGATATTTTCCAAGGCACTACATAAAAATGGAGTGAAAAGAATGACATAGCAAAAGAAATTAGCTTCCAACCATAAAAAGCTAATATATTTTCTATAGAAACTGCCTCTTCCACATGGGCAAAGAAACGATATCTAAACAAAGTCAGAAACTACAAACTAAACAATATTAACAAGAAAAAAAAAGACCCATCAAAAAATAAAGAACAAAGAAATACAAGGACAAACTCTTCTTGTTCTCACCCTATTACGCCATTGTTCCCATTGTTGATATACACAAACTCTAACTTTGTTCACACACACGGTTGCTCCCGTGTACGCCTTCTTCAATAAGAAATCCTAGCCTTTCTCACTTTGTTTGTGAGAGTTTAGAGATCTGTAGGGCGACGTGTTTGGGTAGAATGATGAGGGTTTAGCAATCGAGTTTAGAGAATTTGGGAGAAGCGGGTAGGTCTTTTTAAGCATTAGGATTTTCAACAATTAAGTAGGTATTATTACATTTAATAAATTTCAAAATTTTTTAATTAATGATTAATTATAACTTCAATTTATAAAAAAATAAATCATTCAAGTTAATTGGTTCATATTTTTATAACAAGACTTAATCTAGTTTTTACATTATTTTCGTGAACTTCTTATGAAACATTAATCGAGTTTCTTAACACGTTTGTTTATGAGTTATGTATCAAATATTAATCGAGCTTCTTAATGAGTTTTATATCGAGTTTATTTTCTAGTTTGTTTACGAGCTTTAATTAATATTATTATCAAACATAAATAAGCCGAACAATTGGCTATTCAAGCTTATTTATTTAACAATTGAGCATTTTAAAAATTGTTCAAATTTATTTTATTACTTAAACAGACGATCATGAATGAGCTATAATTGACTCAATTACGAGTAGCTTGTTGAACGCTTGGTTCATTTGTGGCACTACCTTTAAGGAAGATTTCAATAAAGGTCTACATATCTTTCGTTGAAAGATTAGAAAAGTTCCCTTTATGTTCAGCTATTATAAGTTTCCATCGATTGTTAGTGGGAGAGAAAAAGCAAGGAAGAATATGCATTTTTTTATTTAGAATACACAAAATTTCTTGCAAATTTATACTTTTAAAACTTGTTCTAGAAATACCTTCGACATGCCAGTTGGGAGGTCCTCATTAGTTGTAAGTGTTAGTATCAGCTTTGTATTCTTAAAAATAAATGTTTATATGA